TACACTTATGTGCCAAGCCCAAACCCCCCAAATCTAAAATGTTCCAGTGACTATTTTGGGATTGGGGGGAAAGGGGGCATCTTATCAGTGTTCAAAAAGCTTCAAATGTGGGAGCATTTTAGATTTCAGATTTTCAGATTGAGGGTGTTCAACTTGTACTATTGCTTCTTTTTGAACCAAATCAGGTCAGATGGTCTGAACCTACTTTTGACTGAGCCATCAGAATGATCTCTTAGGAACTTCATTGAGAAGAAACCACGCAGTGGTTTTCATATACAAACAAAAGACTCCATTGAAAGAATTCTGGGATCTTTTGCAACGGCCGCCCTGAATGACAGGATAACGTTACCCCCCCATTCCTGGATGCCTGCGTCTTACTGGTCTCCCTCCTTTACTAACTGCAAACACAGACCTTGTAACAAGTTACGCACCTGCCCAATATGTGGATACTCTGTCCCAAGGGGGTGGAAAACAGCCCTGGGTTCCAAAGATGTTAGGATGGCAATCCCTGTGGCACTATTATAATTACTCTGCTAATTTTCTTAGCTACCACAGAGACCTGGTGGCAAGTCTGCGACGGGGGAGAGAATCGACTACACAGTTTCCTGAGGCACAAGCATCATAAAATTATTTAGCTGCTTTGAGACCTTCACTGGCACTTGGATGGAGTGAGCACCTCTATTCTAGATATAAAATCCCAACGCTGGAGTTTTACTTTATTTGGCCTTTTGAGAAAAATCAGGTTCAAATGTCAATGGGTTTGACTATGAGCTCACTGGATTAGCAGTCAAGACCTGCTGTTAGCCCTACGACTTACCCGTAAGGTCTTGGTTAGAGGTATCCAAAGGGATAGTTTATTTTTCTGCAAGTCAAGTTAGAAAATGTCCAAAAAATATTTTTTAAAATATATGGTCCAATATTGAAAAAGGTTCACGTCTATTTGCCCAGAACTCCCTACCAAAAAAAAAAAAAAAACCATACCGCTCTTTCCGATTCTTCTCAATAAACTGTGGTCTGTTTTTGAGATCTGAGTTCTTCATTCAGATCAAAAATCAGGGAGTTATTCTTGATGCCCTTTCCACCTTTCCGTATTCCACATCCAGACTGTCATCACATGCTGTCCGCGGTGTCTCTGAAACACATCCAGAGTCTGGCGTTCTCTCAACAACTCTGCCGCTGCCCTGTCCTGAAAGGCTGAAGTAGCCTCCTAACTGGTCTCTCCATCCTCCAATCCAACCCTCTTCAACCCATTCTAAGTGCAGCAGCCAGACTGAAGAGGCTCCCCCTCTGTTCTAAGTAACAACAATTTCAAGTGGCTTCTTTTATCAACGTACTGATTTAAATATGAATGTAATGCATATCCTTTGTGAATGTCACAGAAGTAAGGAAAATAGAGAAGCTTTGTTTCCCTCCCATTGCCATTACCCAGAGGTCACTGCTCTGTGCTACTAAATCATTTTTCTATGATGAATGGCTTATCGCGATAGATTTTGTTTGCAAAATTAGGATCATTTCCATTATTCTGCAGCTCACTGGCTTTTTTCTACTTTGCATTTTATCCTGGACACTCTTTCAGTGCAGAAAAATCAGGTCCAGAATGCTTTGGACCTCGGGTTTAGGAAGGAATCATACAGGCAGGTTTGTTAGAGAGTAACATGATTTTAATTATTGTAATGGTTATTACTCCAGAGGCTCATTCCACGAGGTTTCCAGGATTTCTGATGTCCAGCCCTGCTTAGAGTCCAAAGGGTTTGTTACATCCTTTGTATTGAGAAATAGCCCTTAAATTTCATGGCCCCTCACAAAAAAACACTATGCCCAGAAAAAAATATTTCACTGGACTTTCACCCTGTGAAGAAGGTGCTTGACAAGTAGGACAATTAAGCATTGAATGATTTTCCAGCTTGCCATAGCTGGAGAATCATATCCTCAAATCCCAGTCTTCTGACTCTTCTGTGTGTTAGTGGACAGGGTTTCACGAGGGGCTGATGTTTTAATTTAGTTATACAACTTCATCTTTTGTAGCCTCCCTCGCCCCCTTTTTTTACCTTTTCAGTTGGTGCTGCCAGTACCAGAAGTTTTGTGCGTTTTCTAAGAGGCATCACATTCTGGTTCAATTTCTGTCTCTAAAAACCTTCGTCATCATTTAGCATATTACAACAGCAGCATGTAGTCCCAGGCTGCGCGTCAAAGGTAATTAGCTCTCAGGCATTTGTCAGGATCCATAAACTGCTTAAACTCTCTGCTTGCTCTCTGTAAATGCAGCATAACTTTGTGATTAAATTCCACCTTGGTGTTCAGTCTGGGACCACTTAAGCCTTTGCTTTTATAAAGTTGTACATGGTTTTACTAAAGGTTAGCAGAGCAGTCCAAAAAAAAAAAAATGGAGGTAAAAAAAGCCTCTTAAGAAAGAAAAAAAGGCAACTATTGGATTCTTTCCTCCCTTACCCCACTTCTACCCAACCTCCTTCCCCTCCAGATCAAGTGTAAGGAAGGAAACATTTCGGCAAATGTAGGTAAATTGTACAAATGATGAGGTCTGGTAAAGCTTCGCAAGATGAAAGGCTCCCCGAAGCTTTTCAGGGTGGTTCAGCCTTTCTGCTTGGGAGTGAGTCATTTGCATCCTTCCCAGGATCCTCTGGAGTTCCTGTATTCAGAAAAGAAAGAGAAAGCTTTCCTTAGTCACAACCTGAGGGTGTCTCTTTCTCGTGACATTGTATTGACATTGTGTAGAAAAAAACAAAAAGTGGTCAGGTCTCCCCAGCTCTCTTTCCCTGAGCTCTCTGATCCCTCTGTTCCCTGGACAGCTGGTCTGCTGATATTGGAGTGGTTTGCCCCTGTTGTCTCTGTTAGATGAGGTTGAATGACAGTAGAATGTCCATAGCTGACCACCTCGGCGTGCACATGTACGGGGCAGGGCAGCAGGCCTGCTTCCTGGCGCTGACCACCTCGGCGTGCTGTCCAGGTTGTTACAGTCCCCTGGGTGGTCAACTCTCAGAGGTCCTCCTATAATTTGCTTATTAAACCCATCTCTCGCCTTAGAGTTGCACTGTCTACACATTCAAAGGGAAAGGGCAGAGGCACCTGAAAGGTACGGGCAGAACAACCACCGTCAAATGTTCCCGGGCTCAAACACCCAGAAAAGGATTCATGTGTTAAGGGAACAACAGCTTTATCTATTCGAAATTATATTTGTTGAGTTCTTTGAGATTTGGGTGAGAAGCAAAGTTAGGAAACTAAGACTCCAGCGGTTTATGGAAAAGCTAGCCAACCACACAGGAAAGGGGTTGAGGCCTTCAGATCTGAGGCCTTCCTGGGCCCTCGAGTACACTAACAGGTGACAGCAGGGGAAAGCCTACAGTGGGGGTCACAGTCATCAGTTCATGAGAAAACAGGTTCAAAGCGGTTTGCAGAAGGTGGCAAGACTGGGTAATGGTGAACAAAGACCATAATTCATGACTCTCAGTCGGGTCCGGTGTGCTTCTGTGTATATGGTGACCCCCGTCCTGGATTTCTCGAATTCTGATCTGACAGCTGCCTCAGCCCAGCCTGGGGCTCAACAGGAATTACAGTCACACTAACCGTGGAACGCCCCATCTGGCCATCTGTTTCATCTAAGAGCGCTTTTCTTTTCCTTTTTGAAACCTTATTTGAGATAGTTAATACCTCAGGCCTCATAGAAATTGCAATCATTCTTAAGAGAAGAAGTGTAAAATTTGTATTAATATTTAATTCCTCCAATTTGGAAGAACTGGAGACTGCAATTAGATGGCAGGGCCCATCTGCTTCTAGCAGCCTCGCTCGCCCGCGTTAGATCCCTTGGAGGCTGCGGTGGGCCGCGGTCACCTTCGGATGTTCCTTAACAATGTGCCACAGTCTCTCAAGAGGGAGCTCCAGATGGTGAAGGAAACTCTGCAGGCCATGATCCTGCAGCTCCAGCCAGCAAAGCAGGTGGGAGAAAGGGAGGCTGCAGCTTCCTGTGTGACAGCTGGCGTCCGGGAAGCACAGGCCTGAGGAGTGCTGGGAAGGGAAGGAGGAGGCCACCGCGTCATCGTCATCGGTGTGGACTCGGGCTGCTCCCCCGCCTTCCGCATAGCTAATGTGACTCAATCAGTTATGGAGATGCAGAGCCTTGAGGTCTTCCAGCAGAACGGTGGTCCGTGCTCATTCTGAGACTGAAATCAGGGAGTCTGTGATGGGAATGAGCAGAGGAGAAGGCTCTGCTGAATTTTCTTCTAAATGGCACTCAGAGATTTCTGTGTCATTCATGAGAGTATCAGGTGCAGGATTTGAAAATCTTTCTATTGCAGCACCCATTAGAGAGAAGTGGGGGTGAATTCTGCTGGAAAAACGTCTCTTTGTCCCGTACCATTTTGCTTTCTGCTACAGCTAAAATAAGACTCTGCCCCCATACCTGTTACACTTTTATACAGGTGCTTGATCTGAGAAAGCTAATTAACCACAGAGTCTGGAATTAGCAGCTTTTCACCTTACTTCTCCTGTAATCGAACATTACATCAGAGAAACTAATATGCAACTTCCAAAAGATATTTAGGTAAGGCACCAGCCCCTCAGTGAGGTGCAGCCTTTCAAATTTCCTTATGTTGCAATGACTGTCTCTACAGAAAGGATCCCTGACAGTCTGTTTCATCAGGAGACTTGGAGGATATGGATGGGTCAGGAGACTTGTGTAAACCTTTTGAGCCTCTCCTGTTTTCCTGTGGAATCTGTTTTGCTGATTGCCAGATAGAGCAGCACTCAGTAAAACAGTATAGCACTCAGTATCACAGTACAATTCTCAGCAACACAGTACAGCACTCAGCAACATAGTACAGCACTCAGCAACACAGTATAGCACTCAGCAACACAGTACAGCACTCAGCAACACAGTACATCACTCAGCAACACAGTATAGCACTCAGCAACACAGTATAGCATTTAGTAACACAATATAGCACTCAGTAACACAGTATAGCACTCAACAATACAGTACAGCACTCAGCAACACAGTATAGCATTCAGCAACACAGTACAGCACTCAGTAACACAGTATAGCACTCAGCAACACAGTACAGCATTTAGTAACACAATATAGCACTCAGCAACACAGTACAGCACTCAGTAACACAGTATAGCACTCAGCAACACAGTACAGCACTCAGTAACACAGTATAGCATTCAGCAACACAGTACAGCACTGAATAACACAGTATAGCCCTCAGCAAAACAGTACAGCACAGAGTAACACAATATAGCACTCAGCAACACACTACAGCACTCATTAGCACAGTGTGGTTCTCAGTAACATAGTATAGCACTCATAATTCAGGATAGTACTCAGTAACACATTGTAGTACTCCTTAACACAGTATAGCACTCAGTAACACAATGCAGCACCCAGTAGCTCAGTATGGTACTCAGTAACACAGTATAGCACTCATAATGCAGTACAGTACTCAGTAACACATTGCAGTACTCCTTAACACAGTACAGCACTCAATAACACAGTGCAGCACCCAGTCACACAGCGTGGTAGTTAGTAACACAGTGTGGCACAGGGTAGCACTGTGTAGTGCTCGGTAACACAGTGCAGCACCCAGTCACACAGTTGTGACACTTGGTCACACAGTGTGGCACCCAGTCATACAGCATGGCACTCAGTCACACAGTGCAGCACTCAGTAACGTAGTACATTACTCAATAATTCAGGGCATTGCAGGCTCCTGCTGGGCAGTGCCTTTGGCCTAGCTGGGGCCCTGTTAACCCAGCTGCAAAACAGCCTGAGCTGAATTAGACAGTACTTCCCAAAGTGCCCTGAGTAAGGTGGCCCCAAGAGGTACTCCACAAACAAATAGGTAGCCGTTGTGGTCCAATAGCTCTGGTGAACACAGCGTGCTGTAATGTATACATGGAGAGCCACAGTGCAGGCCACCATGGTCATTGCGGGGAAGCCTGGAGGAAGGAACCCCATCTGATTTTGTCTGACCCCAAACCTCCCAGCTGTAATGGACCGTGCATTTTTCTTCGTGTAAATCCTGCTCATATCCCATTGATCTACTGTACAGTGCTGCGTTCTCTGGGGAAGTCCTGGTCCAAACACCGATTTACGCCACTTCAATATGTGTGCCGGAGACCAAACTTGTACTGAGTGTTGAACTTCACTTATCACAGTTTGGGAAATGTAGCTGACTGGTTGTCCTTTTTGTGCTTCTGTTCTCATTCGTGTGTAGGGATAGTGTGTTCCTGTCTTCACCAGGATCTGTGGGGGTGAGGCGATTTAGCATTCCTGACATCACACTGCTGTTTGCAGAAGGCCTCTGCTGTGCCGCACTGCTGTCCTCCGTCAAGGAGACGCCCCTGCTTACCCAGCGATTGGCTAGGGTCTGGGAGACAAAGCAGAAGCTCAGTGGGAATTTGCTGACTGTGTTCCCTGGGGTCTGGAGAGGTTTTGAAAATATGCTCTACGTATTTTAATAAGTGTAATCAGTTTGTTCCTGGACTTGGTTTTTCCACGATGGACCACATTTCTGAATTATGTATGATTGTGTCTAAAAAGAGGTGTGAACTAGTCCCACAGCTCTTGGAACTCTTGAATTAATTCCAGTGAGGTGGAAGTTGGGCAGAGTCGGAGCTGACCGAATTACCAGTAACAAATTCCTGCTTTGACATGTCTTTTTAAAAAGACTCCCGGACATAAAACATCTTAACGATCACTAGCCCAAGTGTTTTGTGTATCTGGAAATTATGGAAGTTAGTAACTGCTTTTGAGTGTGCTCAGAGTCAGGTTTATTCTACCTCCAATGGGTGGCAGGTGCATTTCCTTGCTGAGACGCCTGGCCAAATTTAAGTATTGGAGCAGGTGATTAATGCTTTACACACATTCTGTAACTCACCTGTAATCTTTCCTTGGTCTTAGAGTGACATGCAGGAAGGCTGGCCATACAACCTTACGAGGACAGCCCTACTCTCTAAAGTCACTTTGGCCCTGCAAGACTAAGGCCTCTGTGTTCCCAACCATACACTCTGTAGGGCAGTTTTTGTCGGGGCAGCATACAAATATCCGGGAGAGATCAGGGCTTGAATTTAAAAGCAACAACAACAATAAAAATGTATGTTGTCATGGAGACTGCCAAGACCATAAACAAAAGCACGTACTGAAAAGGATAGCCTAAGCCCCTTTGAGGTTGCTGTGAGCTGGGCTGGGGCCAGGGCACTTGAGCCTGGATGATGGAGTGAGACTCTGCCTCACAAAAAAAAAGAAAGAAAGAAAGAAAGAAAAGACAATGGTGATTTCACTGTGATGTGGCTGAGAACAAGTGACATGGTGACATATAGCACTGCCCACCTGGCTGCAATGTGAGCCTTCAGATGGGCACTGTGTCTCTTTCTCCAGAGAATTAGGACATGCTTTTCCATCAGTAATGGTCCTTGGTCCTTCCAGCTTCCTAACATTTCAGAATTGAACGGATCCTTCTTCACATCAAATCAGTTTGCAACTTCGGAAACTTGTCTTTTCTCTGCAGTAAGATCGATCCCAGAAACATGTGAGGGTCAGTACCACAGTAAGCCCTTTACAATCGTGATGTCCTGTACTCCCCACATCAGCCTAATGAAGAATGTGTTTGTAGACACTGCAACTGAGCCTTAGGAAGACTGATTCCTTCCCCAAGGGACAGAGTCAGGGGGACGTGGAGTGACAGTAACCCTAACTGGCAGAGACAGGCAGCACGCTCTTGACTAGTGCTCTTTCTAAAGTTCCTTCTCTGTCCTTTTGGGACTTTGAACCATGGAACTTAACTGTTCACTTGATTAAGAGGGCATGGACACCTTGGTAATCCTGGCTGAAGAGTCAGCAAAATTGAGCCTAGGGCAAACGAGGCGTCTAGGATCAGACAGCCTTCAAGAAACCTCTCCAGGCCACTATGGCCCTCACCTAACCATTTCCAGTCATCCCAGCCACTCATTCCCTGCCACTGGGCAGATTTTCTTGAAGATCCCATCCAGTTGGTGCATTTGAATACTGTTTATTCTCTGCTGCAGAGAGAAGCAACTGCAAACTCATTGGTCATGCCTTCTTATAGATGTAATTCAATACTTTGATTTTCAATATCCTTGCCTTTTATAATCTTTGAATTTTGTCCTTTATTAATAATTTATTGCTTCATTACTTTTACTTTTTGTTACACAACATTAAAACTTATATCCAAGCCATGGTATGCCTTGATGATCTTTTGTCTTCTGAAATTTGGATGATAGAAAAATATAACAGGTTATCCTCTCATCTTTCTATCACAATTGCTTGCATCTCACAAAACATTTGTAATAAAGCAATGCTTTAAATTCATGCACGTGTTTGCTTTCGGATGCCAACAAATGCAAAGCCATGGAATTTTCTGTTTCAGACTCCTTGATTGAGGAAATTGAAAATAGCATTACGAGTAAAGCAGGAAACAAGGGTGTCCACAAACACCACTCAAAATGTTTCACTGAAAGACTAGTTAATTCAGTTAGACAGGAGAAGTATATGAGGGTTACAATTCAGAAAGGAGGAGATGCGACTTTAATATTTATAGATGATATAATTGTAAGGTTGAAAACCTAAACCTAAGAGATTTAGCAAAATAATCTTTTACACAATTAACATAATTAATGGACTAAAGTCAACAGGCTTAAGCAAACAGTAATCAGCAGCCTAAGAAAAGGTCCCATTTTCAGTAGAACAAAAAAAAAAAGAGAGAGAGAAAGACATGGAATAAATTTGAATAAAAAGTGTTTACGTATTAGATGAAGGACACGAGGAAAATACATAGAAAAGCATATTTTCAGCTTTTTGTTAAGAAATCATAATTGTCAAATTTTCATAAGTCAATTTATAGATATCTCCTGACCCATTTCAGATCCTAACCCCCTAAGCAAGGTGGCGATGCAGAGTCCAGGTCTCTGTGGGCTACCCAAAGGTGCATTTTTTTGAGACAGTCTCACTCTGTGCCCTGGGTAGAGTGCCATGATATCATCATAGCAGCCTCAAACTCCAGAGCTCAAGTGACCTTCCTGCCTCAGCCTCTAGGGTAGCACAATACCCAGCTAGTTTCTCTATTTTTTTTT